GTGACTATCAAAGCACAGCATGTTGGTCCTGCCAGAATAATTTCTATGAGACATGTATTGGGGCGGGGGGCGGGGGAGAAAGTGGTGCAACTTTCCTTCTCTTTCAGGCAGATTGGGGTGGGAGGGAGGATAGGAGCCCTGACGTGCACGCATGCCAGCTCACCACTCCCCGCCACATCCCCTCCATCTGCCGTGCGCTGCTCACTTTCCATGCTGTCAGGTGCTTCCATTCTTTTTTCTCCCCCGCCCCTCCTCCATCCAGTGCCCCCTCCATCCAGTGCCCCCCCACCAAAAATTGTCTAGCTATGGGGCTGCTTCTCAGAATGATAGGGGCTCATCAAGGTCACCTGTTTCCTAATCCTTTTCACTGGAGCTGCCAGGGATTGAACCAGGGACCTTCTGCATGCGAAGCAGATGCTCTACCACTGAGCTATGGCCTCTTCCTGTGGCATCTTAAAAAAAAAAATAGTGGCATAAGCTTTTGCAATCAGTTTTGTTAGATCAGTGATTTGGTCTCTTAAATAGAGTGGTATTTACATACTGGATATAGAGTTGGGGTTTGGAGGAGATACATTTTACCAAGTGGAAATAAAGACATAAGTAATGCAAGGAATAGTAGCAATAGAGTCGTGTTACTATGCAGAGCTCAGATGGATACAGAAACCACTTTATGGATTTAACCCACGAAAACGTATGCCATAACTAGCCTGATACCCATGCTTCACTATGGTATTTAAGTTCCATAAATCCAGTTATAATACTGATGATGTGAAGTTTGAAATGTAACATTTGTTGTAGGAATTCTAATAGAGAAGATTGTAGTGTAAAAACTGGAGTGAGACACATTTATTTTTTCTCTCTGCTGAAGGATCCCTCTGTAGACCTTGGCGATTCTGCCCTCAGGTGCTAGGATCACTAGGCTGCTTGGTGAGCTCACTCTGGAGTAGGCCACATAGAACTGTCCATGTGAGAAGCAGTTGTCTGTTAAGTCAATTCCTGCCACCTTCAGTGTCTGGCCTTGGGACTTATTGATAGTCATAGCAAAGCAGACCTTGAGGGGAACTGCAGCCTCTTGAACTTGAAGGGGTTTTCTGATGGTATGAGTGGTATGAACACCAACTCTCCCTGAGCACTGCCAGTGAGCAGTGTGGCCTCGATGGGCTGGGAAGCCAGGAGGGTTGAGGTGTAGGAGGGGTAGCATGTCTGAAGGCATCGGGGAGGCTGGGCCAGCAGGATTGCTAAGGTGATGCTGCTTGGACAGCCTCCCCAATGGCTTTCAACATGCTGTCCCTGCTTCTGCATCTGACAAACAACCACCTGTCAGTTGGAGGAGGGGTAGGTGGGAGTATTGGGGAGGCTGGGCCAGCAGCAGCAGCACTAAGGCAGTCCTGCTGAGCAAGCCTCCTAAGTATCCTACCCCCTCTCCTATACCTGACAGGCAGCTGCTTGTACAGTGTAGGAGGGGAAGGGTATAGGATATTGTGAACCATTGTGGAGGCTGGGCCGGCAGGATCACTAAGGGGCAGGTTCCTGCTGGGGCGGGCTTCCTGATGGCTTTAAGCACCCTGCACCTGCTGCTACACCTGACAGACAGCTGCCTATCAGGTATAGGAGGTGGGGGAGTGTATTTGAAGCCATTGGGGAGGTTAGGCCAGCAGCATTGCTGCACTTCACAGGTAGTTGGCCATTCCTGAGTTCCTTAATGGTCATTAGCTGTCTGCAGTCTCCTGTAACTGTTTTTTTTTTACCTCAGAACACTGAGCTATGCAGCTGACCAATCAGATAGTGAGGGGTGCAAGGAGGCAGCAGCCTGGCAGCCACATAGGAAACAATGGGGGAGCACATTTTATCCCTTTTGACCACTTAGGGGTCAGATTTCTAAAAATCCCTCCTTAGTGAGCATCTATGTCATGGTAGGAGTGCTCACCCCAATTTTTTTTTTTAAATCCCCGGAGGGATATTTTTTTATTTTGCAAATACTACAAAAACTACAAAGAAATATTAGGGTAGGGACTACAACTAAGGATAAAGGAAAGCAAATCACACTAAACTAAAACCCCAAGAAGAAGAGATCTTTTCACTGTTAGTAAAAATGTTAGTACAATTAGTTTTAATATCACAATATACTTGTAGAGTTCTTGCTTATAACACTTCATTATTTACATGTTATTTTTTTAGTTGTTATGAGAGAAGTCTCTGATCATCTTCTTATTCTTCACTTCAAAAGGCCATTTTCCAAGTCCTTCTGCCTTTACTTCGGCTTTCTGTCTCTAAAATCGTATACCACTCTGGCAGGTCCAGCACCCTTTTCTGCCGCAGAATCCTCATCCATTCCCGAGGTAGCAGAGTCACTAGACTTCGTTTCTTCCTCTTTGGACTCTTCGTCTGTCCCCAGCTGACGTCTCAAAAATTCTTTAGCTTTAAAAGTGGAGTCTATCTTCTCTCTTCTATCATTGATCTTAAAGATGACACCCTCCAGAATCACCCAACTGTACGATATCCCATTAGTTTGAAGAAAAGAAATTAAGTCCTTATAATTTTTCCTCTTTTGTCTAATTTCAAATGGAATGTCCTTTAAGGTTTTGATGGTTACATTTCCCATTTTCAGTGGAGTTGCTGAAGTTGCTTTTAAAATGGCATCTCTGGTTTGTCTTCTTAAGAATCTAACCACTATTTCTCCAGGTAGGTTATTTTTTAATGTAATTGGAGTATGCCCTATAGACTGACTCGATTTCATTTACCAATTCATCCGCTGTTAAACCTACTACTGGAGCGATGATCTCACCAAGCACCCTCTTCAAGTCTTGCCGATCCATTTCAGGAACCCTCTGATATCTGAGAATCATGTTAGCTTTTTCCATCTGTAGCTGCAAAACTCGATTCTCTTGGCAATTCTGCTTCGTTTCCACCTCTCCCAACCTCACACACGGGAGCGCTTCTACCCTTGCACGGCAGCCCGGCTTCACGTATGCACGCCTCTCCCGCTTCCTCAGCCCTGAAGAGGCCTCCCCCGCGAGTATCGCGGGTCCCTCTTCTTGTATAGATATATTTGCTACTTTGTTCCTCCTGAATTGTCAGAAGACTAGAGAACTCAACTACCTGAAATATTAGCATTCTTAAAAAAAATTTAAATCACTTCTAACCCTTATTGTTTAAAAAGGGCATTAAATTATGCAAAAATATGTGCCACTGTGACATGCATTTCCTACAATAATTTGAGTTTGCTGCGGATTTAAGTCTCAGTTGTGACTGAATTCAGATTATTTTAAGGTAGGTACTGCACTTTTAAATTTATTTATTGATGTATTTATTTGTTTTGGTGTTCTGCACACTTGGCCCTGCTCATGCCAGAGAATGTTGGAGCCCACTTTTTTTAAAAAAAGCACTATGTATATAAGCATGCAAACAGCAGAAAATCACTAAAGCTAGCACAACAAGAGAACAGACCAAAGCCACAGAATCTCTTTTCATGCCTGTGCCCACAAACTTACCTTGCATGCATTGCAAGATCAAATATTAGGTGTAGTATTGTGCTCTTTTCTCTATTCTCAGACATTTCTCAGAGATAACAATTTTCCTGTAGAGTCACTGTGCAGTTCCTTAGAAATGTATGTGACTGGGTGGCCCTTTTAATTTTGCCTAGCCTTTCAGATGTCAAAGTATTATCTGGAAGAATTCCCTGCACATTCCTACGATTGTGTGATGAAATCACAGCATATAAAATAGGTAGAGGGAGTGCAGCATATATCCCCATGATAACACTAGAAGGGCAAAACTCCATTTTCTGTCAACCAAACATTGTTTGGTGAAAGCAATATTGCTTGGCTGCTGCTTTTAGCAGTAAAATGGCTTCACTGAAGATCCATAATGTCCAGTCCATGAGTTATCTTCTGTTTCTCAAACTCTGTTCTCTGTACTTTCACTGGCAGTGACCAGAGACAGTGACTAGAGAAGGGACTTTTTTTAATGGTGGCACTTCAACATTGAAATGCCATCCTCTTTGAAGCTAGCCTGATGCCTACCTCACTGTCAGTTTGGGGTAGTGGTTAAATGCACAGACTCTAATCTGGGAGAACTGGGTTTGATTCCCCACTCCTCCACCTGCACCTGCTGGATGACCTTGGGCAAACCATAGTTCTGGCACAGCTGTTCTTGAAAAAGAACAGTTTCTGTCAGAGCTCTCTCAGCCCCACCCCACCTCACAGGGTGTCTGTTGTGGGGAGGGGAAGGGAAAGGAGTTTGTAAGCAGCTCTGAGGCTCCAAGTGAAGGGCGGGGTATAAATCCAATCTCCTCCTCCTCCTCCTCCTCCTCCTTATTCCAATCCAAAATATTTCTTTTTAGCCAAAGTTTTAACTAAGGGCTTTTATTAAATCTTGTCTATTTTGTTTTGTTTTATGGCCTGCTTCTAGCCTGTGGATGTTTTTTAGATATTTCTAGTCTGTTCAGTGTTAGCTTTTTACTATCTAAATACTTCTGGCTAGTTTTAAATGGGAAGCCAGTTTGGTGTAGTGGTTAAGAGCACAAACTGTAATCTGAGCGAACCGGGTTTGATTCCCCACTCCTCCACATGCAGCTGCTGGTGTGACCTTGGGTCAGTCACAAGTTCTAGAGTTTCATGGAAAAAACTGAAAAACAAAGAAGAGAATATCTAGGTCAAGTTAAATTAATAAAGCTAGTGACAATTGCACTGTTGAGAACTAAAAATAACTAAAATGCATTTTGTCTTGGTGGAATAACAGACTTAAAAAATTTAATGGAATTAGAGATTTATAAAATTCACAGCTCCAAAAAGCCTAAATTCAGTTGCTTTCCTTTTCTGTCTATGAAGACATCGTGGACTAGTTAGCAATGGTTTATTCATTTCTCCTGTGAACTCAGCCAGCGTATCACTGAGACATGTCATAACCGGTTGTTCACGCAGTTGCACAAATGTCTAAGTCAGATGTGCAACCTCTGTAATGGCTTCATTCATAGCACGGAAGCCAGTTTTTGTCCTCAGCTTGAATGATAAAGTGGAAATATTTTAAGAACTAGCCTGACATACTCCATTAATTTGGAGGTGCTTTTTTTGGCTGGTGAGTGATTTCTGTGTCAACATGGCAGCAGCAACAGGAGAAAAGACTGGAATGGATTAGATTATGCCATGGTGAAAGGTTATACACATGCATATCAATAATTTAGAAATGGGGTTAGGGTTTTTTAAAAAAAAATGAAAATGACACTGTATTTCAACACAGAATTACTGTAATTTTAGCTTTGAACATCTAAAAATGAAGGAAAGCAAACAATTTTATATTGTTGGCAGCTTTTTAAAATTGGGAACATTCAGGTATGCCTGTCTCATTCTGAGTTGCACCTCATGTTGTTTATAATTAAACATCTAAAATCAATGTCTGAATGACTTTTTAACCCAGAGTAATAGCAGTGGCTATTCCTAAA